CCCTTAATATTGTAAAGCACAGGGCAAACTGTTGGCGCAATATAAATCCTGTATAATATAATAATAATAATGCCTATAGCTGCTGGCAGTGATCGAAAGGAAAAACCCAACAGGCTGGTTGTACTAAAGGAGAGCAATAGCCAGTCCATAGATATATCAAAATTTGTCCAGTTCCTGCTGAACCAGATGAATTTCAGTTAGTCTATGGCCGGCTTTATTAGCCTAATTATAAAGCATGAATAAGGGCTAACTGTGGCCACACTGCTGCTATTCTATAGAAAGCACCTCCAGGATATTTATAAAGCTGTCTGCTTTTTTAAGGCAGTCTATGTTTCATTTGCTTTCGGATTCTGAAGCAAGCCAAGCCCAATTTATTTCAGTGAATAGGGAAAACAATTGTGTTCAGAAACCTTTCACATAACCTGTTCAGTGCTCTCCTCTTATCCACAAGTATTCTTTCACAATATTTTCTGTATTAAATAAATATAATGTAAAGTAGTAGTAGTACATCCCAACTCCTCCATTTAACCTCTTCTTTCGCACTCACACAGTGCACACAGTCCTCCACCCACACCGACGGGAACACCCTGGACCTCGTTTTCTCTCATCTCTGCACCCTCCACAACTTCACTAACACCCCCTTCCCTCTCTCTGACCACAACTTCATTACGTTCTCCGTCTCCCCATCCTCTAACTCCTCCTCCCCCCAAAACATCAAACCATCACCATCAACCCTGGCAGAACGACCACACTAAAAAACCTCAAACGACGCAGTCGCTTGCTGGAGCGATTATTGAGCAAAACCAGATCCCCTTGAGCGTTCTCCCTCTACAAATCCGCCTTGCTCACCTACACCTCCTCCCTCCACACCGCCAAGCAAGCCTACTTCGTAACCCTCATTAACACCTTCTCCACTTTCAACTCCCTACTCTCCCCCCCACCCAGTACCTCACTCACCGGCCACGAGATTGCCAATCACTTCCAAAACAAGATTGATGCAATCCGTAAGGACATTGCCAATACTCAATCTGGCTTCCATCCTCTACACTCCACAAAAACCGCCCCTCCTCAAAATCACTAACGACCTGCTAACCGCCAAAGCTAATGGCCACTACTCAGTCCTCCTACTCCTCGATTTCTCTGCGGCCTTCGACACAGTTGACCACCCCCCCTCCTTAATAAACTATATTTCCTTGGCATCAGAGACTCTGCTCTCTCCTGGCTTTCCTCCTATCTATCCCAATGCTCCTTCAGCGTTATCTACAACGCTACCACCTCCCCCTCTCTCCCCCTCTCTGTTGGGGTCCCCCAAGGCTCTGTCCTTGGGCCCCTTCTTTTCTCCATTTACACCTCCTCCCTCGGCAAACTGATACACTCCCACGGCTTCAACTATCACCTCTACGCCGATGACATGCAAATTTACCTCTCCACCGCTCACCTCACTCCTTCAGTCTCCGCCCGTATCACCCACCTATTGAACGACATATCAGACTGGATGTCGCTCCATTTCCTCAAATTGAACCTTTCCAAAACCAAGCTCCTAGTTTTCCCCCCAGCCCACACCCCCCCCCCATCCTCTCCATCACGACCAACAACGCCACCATCAATCCCACCCCGCAAGCCAAAGTCCTAGGTGTCACCCTAGACTCAAACCTATCCTTCCAACCCCATGTCCAATCGCTGGCAAATTCATGCAGGCTCCAACTCCGCAACATCTCCAAGATACGTATGTTCCTAACCCCAGACACTACTAAACAACTCATTCACTCCCTTATTATCTCATGCCTGGACTACTGCAACTCCCTTCTCACTGGCCTACCCCAACACAGGGTTCCCCGCTTCAGTCTATCCTGAACTCAGCGGCCAGACTCATCCACCTTACCAGCCGCTCCACTTCTGCCACCCCCCTCTGTCATTCCCTCCATTGGCTTCCGATTGCCCAACGCATTAAATTCAAACTACTAACATTGACATACAAAGCCATTCATAAAGCTGCCCCAAACTACCTCACCGACCTGATACCCAAATACCACCCAAACCGTATCTTCGCTCCTCACAAGAGCTCTTCCTTTCTAGCTCCCTGGTCTCCTCCTCCCACGCCCGACTGCAGGACTTCTCCAGGACTTCCCCCATCCTCTGGAACTCTCTACCCCAATCCCATCAGACTGTCACCTACCCTCCTCACCTACAGGCGCACCCTGAAAACCCATCTCTTCAGGGAAGCCTACCCCACCCTCACCTAACAGCTGATCTCCTCCACTCCTCCTACCACTCCATCCCCCACAGCCACTTCCTCCTGTACCACTATCCCCTCCTTCCTAGATTTAAAGCTCGAAAGAGCAGGGCCCTCAAACCCCTCGTGTATTGTTTTGTTACTGTATTGTCTCATGTACTGTCCCCCACTATAATGTACAGCGCTGAGCAAACCTTTTGGCACTATATAAATACTGTATATTAATATAATAATAAGTAGAGGAGCAGTATAAGGCATTTCCAGTGATGTCTTGCTGTGTACAGAGAGTGGAAACTGCTCTTTCTCATAAATGGGTCTCTATATATTGCATTTAACAGTAAAGCCCCATGATGAATCTGTGAGCGAGCAGAAAATAATTTTAACTGGTTTCTGTTACAATGTGTTAAATTTAGTACATTAGTTGTAAATGAAAGATATAAATTCTCATTACCAATGGTTTGAATAAGCACATACTGTGAGACAGCTTGTAACTTAGAAATACATTATATAACATGTTCTTTATCAACCTATTGGTGTTGTTTACAGATGAATAGCCATATTGAAAAGCCAGTGCAAGAGTAATCAACATTTTAAAAATTCTGCAGTTTATAGTGTTTGTTGGAAAGAAAAGCCATAAACACTAGGACAATAAGTGTGCTGTTGTAGGCCATAAAGTGGGTACATTTACAGATAATCCTAAATCAGTGGGCTCAGAATACTTAGACCTAATGTAGAAGTCCTTAGTAGCCTTGGCATTTGGTCACATGATCTGGCTTTTGGTTCTGTGGGCAGAACTGGAGGATGGCAGAATAATTTTCTCTAGGATAAGTAAATACTTTACCTACCCAGCAGGCTGAATGAAATAAAACCTGAGATTGCTGTACTGACTAAGCGATGTTAAAGTGGTTCTAAAGGCTCAAGGTTTTTTACCTTCATGCATTCTATGCATGAAGTTAAAAAACTATCTGTGCAGCATCTCCCCCTCCCCAGTCCCACCTAATACTCACCTAAGCCCCCCTAAGCCCCTTCTCGATCCAGCAATGTGTACAGGAGTCTCGGCTATCTCAAGACTCCCTCTCCTCTTTGGCTGAGACAGCAGCGGGAGCAATTGGCTCCCACTGCTGATAATCACAGCCATTAGCTCCCACTGCTGTTAATCACAGCCAATGAGAAGAGAGGGGGGTGGGGCCAAGCCACAGCTCCCTGTGTGAATAGATACATGGAGCATTGGGTGCCCCCCTAGGAAGTTGCTTGCTGTGGGGGCATCCAACAGGATGGAGGGACCAGAAGCGCCGACAGGGGACCTGAGAAGAGAAGGATTGGGGCTGCTTTGTGCAAAACTGCTACACAGAACAGGTAAGTATAGACATTTTTATTACTTAAAAAAAAAAATAGGCTTATAAAACCACTTTAATGCAGAAAACTGTACTCTACAATAGTAACTATATATATATATACAAAGCTTAGTGTTCTGTGTAAACAGGCAAAATCAAGTGGCTTCCTAATGATCCTTCTGCTTAAATAGGATGTTATAAATAATGTTTGTGGGTTTGGAGACTCTACTGCATAGCTGAAATAAATATTTCATAGGCTCAGTCTAAAGTGATGGTATCATATGCAGGAAGGCTGCTTGCATTAGGAGATCTGACACAAGTCAATGCTTTATATAGTCTGGCTCCTTTAGGCAATACATTTTGTTCTTAAGGCGATATTAAAAGCAAATACAAACATTTATTACATTACACCTAACCAATTTGTAGGTGTGGCAGCTGCATTCATTTTCCTTTTTTTTCTTTTTTTTTTCACTTGGATATCCTGCCTGTCAGTCTGTTGGTTTTTTTAACAAGCTGTCCTGCAGATGTAGCCTGTATCCCAAAGGGGAAGAAACTACTGTAACTGCTTAAAAGGTGTGAACTGGAGTTTGGTTTCAATTTGTTAGTAGGGGCAGACTGACAACTCATTTGGCCCCCGGGCAATAGGGGATCATGGGGCCCCTGGGTCCTTGCCCAGTTTCCAAATGGTCAGTCCGCCCCTGTTTGTTAGTGTATCTAAATCTGCTAGTACATCTAACACTCCCCTTCCCCAGAATGACAATGCTGCTGTCCACAGGTGTCTCTGTTGCTTCTTCATCCAGAGTGTAGGCACTCTAATTACAGGAAGGCTGGTACTAACCAGATCACCAGGTGAAAACAGGTGAAAAAAAGCCTAAAAATATAAAACTAACACAGCCATCTAATGACTGGTAAGCTGCAATATATTATATTGTTGGTTTTAATACTGCGTTAAAATTAGAAACATGCAGCTGTTAGATTTAGGTGCATGGTCCTGGGCAGTGTTTTGATCCCTTGCAATAAAGTACCCCTCCCCTACGTGAACTGCTAACCACCACCAACAATAACCCATAAAAAAAGCCCTTGATGCTGCTCATTGTCAGATTTACAAAGGTGGAACATATTTGGTTGGGGGATAGGTATTTATCAAAGCAGCTCTTCTTTACCCTAGAACACTTTTCAAGTTCTGCCTGTAGCAGAGGGAATCTTAAAGAATTTCCATGTTTTTACCTAATTACACAGTATAGAAGGCAATTGCATATTTGATATACTGCAGCTCACAGGTTCTAATTCATTTGCTAATTGCTAATATATTGCTAATTACTGTACTACACAAAGCACAATCAATTTATAATTTTAATGAAAAAAAATCTGGATGAATTGTTAGTGTTGATTTTTATTTAAAAGCTTAAAAATCAATTCTCTTGTTTTTGCAGTCTCCAAAACAAACCTTTCAGTACATGAAGACAAGAACCGCGTTCCATTTGTCAAGGTGAGAGAGGACATCTCAGTGGTTTTGTTTTCTGGCCAAGAATGTAATCACACTTTGCAAATCAAAGTTTATACTTTGTATAAAGAACATCCTGTATGAAGAAAAAGGACAAGACTGGGTAGCTGGAAATGTAGTTTTATTGTGTTCTATTATTCATGCACATTTACTTTTTTGTTTTAAAAACTTGAAGTACCGGAGGGATCTCTGGTCACCATATTTGTATGGTATAATGTTTTCTGATCACTTTTCCAGGCTCCGCAAATGCTTTCTACATTATATTGGAATGATAACTTGAGAAAATCCTATGTTACACTAAGCCTTTTTTTTGGTATTGTGCTTTTGTTATCTTTAATGAAATATTGATTTGATTGAAATATAAAAACTTAAAGTATAGCTTTTACTGAAGAGCTAGATAAAAATGAAAAATAAAAGATAAAGATAAAATAACAAAACCAGTTTTTACTGAAATATGCTCCTTCAGTGAAAGATTTCCCTCTGAGTACTGTTCTGTGACACAAGATGTCTTCAGTTTGATGGCCAGTATCATCCATCCCACTTCCTTTGAGTCCACGTTTTCCTAGACCCACCCCAGCCTGTGACTGAACAGTGAAAAGAGAGGGAGCACATAATTGGTTTCATCTCAATGTCACTTTGCTCTCTCTTCCTATCACCATGCTTCTTGTCAATGCATGAACCGGTTGGCTTCCAGTGCTGCTTCATCTTCTCACACTCCAGCCCTGCAGTATTGCTATATTTACACTGATTGCATTTTACAAATACATTTATTTACATATTAATAGTTGCAGAGATGCCGTTGTTTTTGTTTTTTATAGCGGCATAATGTTCAGCTTTAATAACAGTCATCAGAGCTTTAGCAAAAAAGTTAAAAACATTTCAAAATGCCTGGCAAAAACATTTTTGTAAGGACGTGTTTTCACCTCAGGTTCACACAGCTTTCATTTAGGATTCACACAGTTTCTTAATTGAATCCAAGTAAGAAATTATGTGATTCCTAGGTGAAAGTTGTGTGAATCTTGTGTGAACAAATATATAAATAGATTTCCATTTAAAACACCATGCTTTTCCTAGTGTCACTAGATTGAGTATATTCCCTAACAATATTTTCACTCTTCTGACAATTGGAAATGGGTAAAGACATCATAGGTGTTTATATATAGACCTGAAGAGGTTGATTTACTAAAACTGGAGAGTGTAAAATCTGGTGCAGCTCTGCATAGAAACCACTCAGCTTCCAGGTTTTATGGTCAAAGATCAATTGAACAAGCTGATTGGCTACCATGCAGATCTGCACCAGATTTTTGCACTCTCTAGCTTTAGTAAATCAACCCCAAAGTGTCCTCCTGTACGTACTCTGTCCAGTTCTGTCTTAGCCTAGGTTCACACTAGTGTTGCTTCATTATCATGTGCTTTTCAGTGAGTTTATGCAGCACATATTGCGCATTTTAACGCACGTTTCATGTGTTTTTATGCCTTGTGTATTTTTCTTAGGAGGAGACTGGTTGTTAAACACAAAACCCTGACAAAAAATGCACCAAAAAAGACATGTACCTACATTTTTCATGCATTCACATTGAAGTCTGTGGGGCCAAAAAACATACTATGATGCACCAAAAGAAGCACCTATGGCTTTTCAAAAATTGCCCCTACATCATGTTGCATGGATGTGAACACGCACCATAGAGAATAACGTGATTTCCATTGTCATGCATTGCAGCATGACAGCAGACACAAGAAAAAATTGCACCAGCATCAACGAGGTCTTGATGCCAAGCCCAACCTTGTACTACTATACTGTAGTAGGAGGTTTTGCCCCATTCTAGACACAGGCATTCCAGTTCCATATTTCCTGTGGATCTATATGTTATCAAAATACATTTTCTGCATTTATCACAAAGAAGTAACACATGAATATAGGCCGCACCATCATAAAGGAGCAGCTGTTTCATGTTACCAATAATCACTATGATCTTAAAGTCCATTACAAAAACAACAATAGTCTTTTCTGTCACAGTTTTATGTGGGCAGGTACATAGATTTGTGAGATATTATGTGGAAGCCAAGATTACAAAATATTGATCGCATGCTGCGTTACTTAAACCAAATCACAAAACAAAATACTATGGTATCATTTCATCACGTCTGTGTGTTCTCAGGGACTGAATTATATTCACGCTGGTTTTATAGCTCAGATTGTACCCTTGATAAAGAGTGGTGACCCGCAGCTGAATTGGCTCTTCTGATTTACGCAACCGTTTTGCAATCAGGTTCAGTTAAGGGTTTTATTGTGATTGAGAATTTATTATTATTTTAATAATGATAATGATCGCTGTCAATGAATATAGTTTCCACTTACCCCTAAATGAATACAACTGTACAATTTTGATAGTTAATGACAGGCCTCATTTTTTATATTTTTAATGCTTTTATGAACAAGTATGTTACGTACAAAATCCTGTCTTTTTTTAATGCGCTACAATGTGCCTAGGCACAATGCGGCACAAGTGTTTTAGATTTTAGAATTTTAGGCAGTGGTGTATTTAGGTTTTTTGCTGCCCCAGGCAACAAAAAAATCAGCCCCCCCCCACCCCCCAGAGGAGAGAGCCTGACACCAACCAACACCAGTGGCCAACAACACCCATGCCCCCCCACCCAAGAGAGCCTTCCACTAACACCAACCCCCCCAGAAAAAGAGAGAAAGACACTCACCTTCACAGCTCCAGACATCCCCAGAAACGAGAGTCGGGCTCTGCATACACCATCAAGCAGCCTGCAGCCTCTTTCAGATCCCACCTGGTCCCCATGCTACATATCTCCCTCCTTGCTGGGGGGGGGGGGGGTGCTGCCCCCCTGAAAAATGCCGCCCTAGGCAAATGCCTTGTTTGCCTTGTGGTAAATACACCCCTGCACTGAGGTGACTGTAAATGAGGGCTGGCTCACATCAAAATTGCAGAGGAAGATGGTCCGTGTTCCTGTGCAATTCCTGCGTATTCCCCTGCCATGCAATTTTACAGCCTATTTATTTGAAAAAAAAAAATGTATGTGCTACTTTTGAAAAATGTACTGCACCAGTAACAAATCAGCTTCTAACTTCAGTTTGTTCAAATAAGCTTTGACAATAAAACCTAAAAATGATTGGTTTGTATGCACTACTGCACTAGTTTTAGTAAATCCCCCCGATGTGTCCTATTTCTTTTCCCCAGCAAATCCCTATTGTCAAAATGACAGTCAGGACTGAATCATAGCATTGGCTGCATCTGTGTAAAATGAAACTTCCTGACAATATCTAAACAGTGTAAAGAAGATTGATGGAACAATAAAATCTAACAACATTATTATAACATTGTATTTGCTCTTCATATGATGTCAAGTAAAGCAAATTTACAAGGAAAAAAAAAGTGTTCCAATTCCACTTAGTTTAAAGTGGTTGTAAAGGCTCAAGGTTGTTTACATTCATGCATCCTATGCATGAAGATAAAAAAACTGTGCAGCAGCTCCCCTAATACTGACCTGAGCCCCATCTTGATCCAGTGATGGGCACGAGAGAGGTCTCTCCCTCCTCATTGGCTGAGACAGCAGCTGGAGCCACTGGCTCCTGCTACTGGAAATCACAGGCAGTGAGTCAATGAGAAAAGTGTGTGGGGGGGGGAAGGGCGAGTGGTGCTCTGTGTTTGAATACGAACACAGAGCAGCTCAGGAGTGAGCCTGCCTGGTGCCCCCATAACAAGCTGCTATAGGGACACTCAGCAGGGGGATCAGGGCTGCTCTGTGCACAGAACAGGTACGTATGACATGTTAGTTGTTTAAAAAAAAAAAAAAAATCAGCTTTTAATATCACTTGAAGTTATCACCGAATCAATAGCTCTAAAACAGAACTTCTGTGGTCCATAAAGGCTATACCTTTGCAAGACCTAAACTGGCTAAATAAAATTTTTAGGAGATATGTTAAAGTGGTTATAAAGGATTTTTTTTTAAATAACAAACATGTCTATACTTACCTGCTCTGAGCAATAGAATTGCTCCTGACTTCTTTACTCTTGCTGGTGCCCCCCAATAGGAAGCCAATTCCCATGGGGACATTTGTGCAGGCTCATTCCCGAGTCCTGCGGCTTTGTCCATTGATACAGACATCAGGACTCTGCCCTGCCCCCTGCTCCTTCGTCAGCAAGGCTTGACAGGAGTGGGAGCCAATGGCTCCTGCTGCTATCGCTCTACCCAGTTAGGAAGGACAAAGCCAGGAGAGCTGCAACTCTCATGCAGTGGCTCCGGCAAGTATAAAGGGGGGGGCAAGAAGGGATTCTTTTACACAGGTTTTTTACCTTAACGCACAGAATGCATTATGGTAAAAACCCTTGAGGCTTTAGGATCACTTTAATCTCCGAAAGGCTGTATTTGTCTAATTAGGGGTGGTTCTGAAATTGTTTTAGGACAATAAATATAATCCTTCTCAGTTTGGTTCTTTGTTTTGGTTTGTGTCATTGGAGCTTAACTTATCTGGTCTAGGTTTTTTTTTAAATATTAGAGTACATACTGCATTTACTGGGAAAGTCCTAAATTATGATCTTTTTGGGAAAATATCAAATCCCTCCTTGAATCATTACTTGGCTAACAAATACCTCTAGACCCAGTCCATGTTCTCCTAGCCTTATCTATACAGAACTTGACTAAATTCTCTACGGAATTGATAAATCATGTGCTGACCACAGCTAGATGTTTAATAGCTTTGAAATGGCAACAACTTACATTTCCGTCTAAGTAAGGGAGGTCGAATAATTTAAAAGAGAAATATGATCAAAGCTTTTTTTTTCAATACTTCTCGTTTGGGTAACAGGAGTGCACTTACTTTTGCTCTCCTGTGATCCAGAAACAGTCGACAGTGGGCTAAAGTCCACTGTCGACTGATGTCATAGAACAGCTCCAGGCTCTGGAAAGATCCAGACCATATTTTCAAGAGTCACTCAGAGGGCTGATAAGCATCTGTCCTAGCCTACCAGCAGGTATCTGAGAACCAGAGTCAACTGCTTCTGTCCCTCGCTCCCGTCCCTTACAGTCACTGCTCTCTGCTCAGAGTGGACTGAGAACTGAGCAAGAAAAGGTCTTGTGATTGCTCACTTTTTGGGCTCAGAGCTGGTGGAAAACAGCTGCAGCATCAGTCTGATGCTGAAGCATGAAAGTATGTATGGTTATTTTTTTTAATTACCCCTAACTTCTTTAAAAGCTACATTCAATAATGTCTGGCTTTCATGGACTCTCATGAATGCATGTTAGTTCCCATGTACAGATGCTACATTTCAAGTCTACCTCATACCCATGGTCACGGAAGTGATTGGGAGCCTCCAGCTGGTTAGCTAATGGGACCCCCCCTCTCCCCATTACACCCTCACTCATCCTCTGAACCCCCACCCTAACTTTCCTCCCTTCTTCCTCTTTCCTCGCTACTTAAGTCATCTGGTTGATGTTAAAGTTAAAAATTTGGCACAATAACATAACTAAGTATATTTATACTTCTATGATATCTCTCCGGATATGCAATTTTTTCTAATTGCACATTGACAAAAAATGTATTTGCTATTCTGAAAACTGGCAAAACATGCAATGTTCAGTATTACTTTTCCATTGTGGTATGTCTTTTCATTTCTATCACAACACCATGAGTGTATCAAGACATATTGAAATACACCATTCTCTATTTATGCGAATTGTATAAACACATAATCTTAGTGAACAGAAAGATTACAAAAATGGTTAGTGTACAGCGCACATTATCACTTGAATATCACCTTTAATTGTTGCATATTTTTTCAGGGCTGCACTGAGCGTTTTGTATCCAGCCCAGAAGAAATACTGGATGTCATCGATGAGGGAAAATCCAATCGTCATGTGGCTGTAACAAGTGAGCAATTTTTCTTTTTCTTTCCCTTAAAGGATATCTAAAAACTCTATATTTTGCAGTTTACCAGTTCTCAGATGTAGTGGCAGCAATCATTTTCAGATTAAGAACATGTGGAGCAGGTACAGAAAATACCTGATACCTGTTGATCTTGCCAGATATGCAATGTTGTCACTTCCTGTGCACTGAACTGGTATTTCAAGCAATGTCTTCCTTTCAAGCCACCTTCAGTAAGCTACACAGTTCCCTGTCACCTCACATATAGGAGTTGAAAGAGGTGTCTGTAGTCTAAATATGGAGAGCAGTCTAGTTTGACAATCATGGCTTCTTTTACATACAAAGTGGAGCCTTAGGGATGAGGGCTGTGTTTGGCGATGACATGGGTTCAAGGCGAGCCTTGCATGTTCGAGGTTCATGGTCTGTGCCAACTAATACTGGAATTTGCTGGGCTGAATTCTTTGTAACCCTACCATACTGCATGGCCTTTAAACTTAGGTCAGTTGGCCTAGAAGCACAAACAAGGGGGTTTTATTATGTACCTCCCCCCCTCACTAGTTCAGGGAAAGCTGACAGTCAGTGTAGGGGGAGTCAGCTGTTATACAGTGCTACATAGTACTATACTGCTGCTAAATTACTGTGGATTGCAGTATGGAGAGCTATATGTTCTAGTTTACTGAGGGAGAAGCAGTTAGGGATGATTTTTTCCAGGGGCAGGAGCAGTTGTAGAGGACAAGAGGAAGCAGCTGTCATAAATTTACTGGCAGCACTGCCTCAGGCCACCGCTATTCCCAGTATGCGAACTGTAATGTGTCTGTGTCACTAGACCATGCTGTCAGTGGGAGGGTACACGTAACCACGCACATGTGGTCCAGCAAGCATCACAGGGACACTACTTTTATTTCATGACACAGTGGATCAATTTGTTGGCAGCTGGGAAAGATGCAGGATGGGCACAGTGAAAGCTGGAGGTGCCTCCTCGTGTCTTTTATGTTGATGACAGCACAGTTGCTTGTACCCTCTTTTCCTCACTGGCCTTATCCTCTGACTTCTTTGAACCACCAGTCCCTCCCAAGCACCCCAGAGCATGTGCCATTCCCAGGATAAATATTAACATGCTGGTTTTGCAGCTGGTATGCCTGGAAGACAGGAGCAACACTGCACGAGAGCTTTTGGCAGCTTTTCTGGCCCAGACTGAAAGGTGGCTTACCCCATGCCAGCCTTAGCCAGGCAAGGTCATGTGTGATGATGTCACTAACCTGCTGGATCCCCTTCACCAAGGAAAACACTCGTAATTTGCCTGGCACATGTCCTCAGCCAAGGGGTACAGTGGTTTCTTGTTAAGTACCCTGGCTTCCAGGTAGTCATTTGTCAGGCCAGGAGGGTTTGTGGCTGCTAGTCACATTTGGTCATTTTTTTTTCTGTCAGAAATGCAGAGCCAACACAAGCTGCCTGCCAATTACCCCATCTGAAGCAACCCTGCATGCTGGAAATCAATTTTGGCTATGCTGCAGAGGCTACACAAGCAGCAGCAAGCCATCCTTGAGTACCTGTGAGATTACATTATGAATGCATATTTCTACTTATAATGATATATTGATGGGTAGGTAATAGCACCTCATCCTTTTATATAGTGAGAACAGAATACAGAAAATGTATGGGACTTTACTAGTTGCATCCAAACCAGCAACACAAAATATTCAATAAAATGTATATTTATTACAAATATTGTTAACATTTTATAATAAAAGAGTGTTTACAAACATAGTCAGATCAAAAGGGATGGAACCTGGGTGGTATGGGAGGACACTACAATGGGACATGCCAATAAAATACTAGCTTTTGACAAATCTGTGGTCTGACTCCCAGGACACAAGTACACAAAGGGGTTTATTTACTAAAGCTGAAGAGTGCAAAATTAGGTGCACGTTTGCACAGAAACCAATCAGTTTCCAGGTTTTATTGCCAAAGCCTATTTGAACAAGCTGAGGTTAGAAGCTGATTGGCTACCATGCACTGGTGCACCAGATTTTGAGTGAACCAGTTTTAGTAAATCTACCCCACAGTTTTTGTGACATCAATGCCTTGGGGCTCCTGATGAAGCTTAAAACATCTTGAATTTTGACTTGGTCCATATTAATGCTTGTATGAAAAAGTTGAATTAAGAAACTATGTATGACAAACTAAGATTCTAGAAGGACAAGTAATTAGAGGCTTCACTAATATGCTGTGGGTCATTCCTTTTTAATGTAACCATGTTGGTGCATTTTATTATGATTTTTGTGAGGCAGATCCAGCAGGAAACAGGGGAGGAAAATGAGGAAGAGAAGAATTAGGGTGCTGGCTTTAAGGAGGAAGAGGAAATGGGTTAGGCTACAAGGTGGACATTTCACCCTTCCCAAACCCAGTAGTTATACATGGGTGGGGTGAACTTTTTGAGGACAGTGTTGTCCTCAGTGACACCAAGGACTTGGAGTCCTCTGCTCCAGGCAATTTGTGGCAAATGGGTTTATTTATAATCAAAAACATGCAGGAAGTACCCTTTTATTCAAGGCATCAAAGAGAGAGACCACTATTGAGTGGTCACCCTTTTGGATCTCCGACACAAGGGCAAAATGGTAGATCTAGCACCAACCCAGAGGGAGCTCAAAATGCTTAATTTTGAGGAGAAGAATAAGAGCCTCCTTTTCAGTTTCCCTGATGGTGGCAGGATCATAACATATCTCCGATCCTGTGATCCCTGAAAAGAGAAGCAGTAGTGACTGTAGTGGAGTTTATTTAAATCACAGCAACCAGTCCTATCTGCAGGGATCACTGACTGGCAGCAACTAAACCACATGATTGCTGACTACATCAGCTCCAGGGCGGCCTTACCAAGCTTCATACACACTGATAAACCCCTGTACAATATTTGTGACTATTGTCCCTCAAAAAATGAACTGTAATGGTTATTTCAAGATAAAACCTTCCTCTTCTCTCTCTCTCTTACATTGCAACCGTAAATCTATATTTTGCCATTTTCGGGGATACATGAATGGAAGGGGTTAAGGGAATGTTGGGCTGTGGTTTTGTTGATAGCAACAACCATCTGAAACATTATGTTATGATTAGTAGTCATTATAGGATCCATATCTGCAGCAGCCTTTTAACAGCGCCAGTAACCAATTTTAAGGGTAATTTTGCTAAAGCTTTTAGATTTTTTTTTGGCTGCTGTGTGTTTCACAGTATGATGTTGCTGACCTTGTCTGTGAAGATCATACTGTTCAGTATCATCACATGCAGCGCAAAGGTGTTTCCCAAGCATGTAATTTCAATGATTAGTACTAGTTTTCCCAAGTCACAGAGTTGCAATAAAAGGAGCCTCTGAACCTGATTTAGCATATATAAACTGCTCGAAAAAATTAAAGGAACACTTTTAAGCAGAGTATAGCATGAAGTCAAATAAACTCCTGGTCAGTTAAGTAGCAGAGGGGGTTGTTAATCAGTTTCAGCTGCTTTGGTGTTAATGAAATCAACAGGTACACTAGATGGGCAACAATGAGACGACCCCCAAATGGAATGGAATGGTTTTACAGGCGGAGGCTACTGACATTTTTTCCCTACTCATCTTTTATGACTGTTTTTCACTAGTTTTGTATTTTGCTAGGGTCAGTGTCAGTACTGGTAGTATGAGGCGATACCTGGACCCTACAGAGGTTGCTCAGGCAGTCCAACTCCTCCAGGATGGCACATCAATACCTGCCATTTCCAGAAGGTTTGCGGTATCCCAGCACAGTCTCAAGAGCATGGAGGAGATTCTAGGAGACAGGAAGTTACTCTAGGAGAGCTGGACAGGGCCATCAGCAGGACCAGTATCTGCTCCTTTGTGCAAGGTGGAACAGGATGAGCACTGCCAGAGCCCTACAAAATGACCTCCAGCAGGCCACTAGAGTGAATTTCTCTGACCAAACAATCAGAAACAGACTTGAGGGGTGGCCTGAGGGCCCAAAGCCCTCTAAAGGGCCCTGTGCTCGCTGCCCAGCAGCATAGAGCTTGATTGGCATTTGCGATTGAACTTCAGAATTGGCAGGTCTACCACTGGCATCCTGTGCTTTTCACAAATGAGAGCAGGTTCACCCTGAGCACATGTGACAGACATGAAAGGGTCTGTACAACATTATGCTGCCTGTAACATCGATCAGAATGATTGTTTTGGTGGTGGGTCATGATGGTCTAGGGAGGCATATCCATGGAGGGATGCACAGACCTCTATAAGCTAGACAATGGCACCTTGACTACCATTAGGTATCAGAATGAAATCCTTGGACCCATTGTCAGACCCTACGCTGGTGCAGTGGGTCCTGAGTTCCTCCTGGTGCACAACAATGCCTGGCCTCATGTGGCGAGAGTATGCAGGCAGTTCCTGGAGGATGAAGGAATTGATACCATTGAATGCCCCCCATGCTCACCTGACCTAAATCCAATAGAAAACCTCTGGGATATCATGTTTCGGTCCATCCAACGACCATCAGGTTGACTGTCCAGGAGCTCAGTGATGCCCTGGTCCAGATCCGGGAGCAAATACCCCAGGACACCATTCTTCGTCTCTTTAGGAACATGCTCTGACATTGTCAGGCATGCATACAAGCACATTGGGGCCATACAAACTACTGAGTACCATTTTGAGTTGCTGCAATGAAATATCAGCAAAATGGACTAGCCTACTGCGTCATTTTTCCACTTTGATTTTCAGGTTGTCTTTGAATTCAGTCCTCTGTAGGTTGATAATTTAAATTTCCATCAAACAATGGTGCATCCTTACATTCCTAACATATTTCCCAGTCCATATCAGTATATGCAGCATGATACTTTTCCCCATTGAAATATGATGTGTTTTCAAAGTGTTCCTTTTTTCTTGAGCATTATATATATATATATATATATATATATATATATATATATATATATATATGATTTTAGTTTGAAAAGTGTTTTGTGGCATTTACAGAGAAGCATATTGTTATGTTTTTGTTTTTTTTTGCTTTGTTAGATGTCTGTCATGGCAGTACCTATTAGCCCTGAAAATGGCCTGAATTTAGTATCAATATTCACCCCCCACAGACATCAATGAGGTTTGATGCTAATTTGAGATTTTGGGGACTGCAAACAGGATTCGATGAATTCCCTTGAAAATTACATTCAGGCGGATTTGCTCATCCCTAGTGATCTCAGCCATCCAGGGACAAAAAATTATGTTATTTGTAGGATCACCGGTTAAAAATAAGGGGGAAAAGCCTAAAAAAAGAAATTAAAGTGGTTCGCAAAGGCTCAAGGTCTTTTACCTTCATGCATACTATGAGCCTGCGGGGGGGCACAAGAAGAGGAGGATCCGGGCTGCTGAATGCAAAACCACTGCACACAGTAGGTAAGTGTAGACATGTTTCATATTACAAATAAAAATAATGAACCTTTAAAATTGCTTTACTACAGCTACCATACCCAAGGACTAGGAAGCTGCAATACCTATTATTTTTGTTTTTGGGTTTCGATATGCTTAAGCATTGGTCATCATGAGCTTAAGCATTGGTCAGTGAGTACAGAAATGAGATTTGCTAATAATTGTAAACTTAATTTAGTGAGAAATTGACTAGAAATTGACAAGCAAAATGTTCATGCAGGATTACAATTGTAGTGTACACTTCAATTGTGTTCCTGCATGAACATTTTGCTTGTCCATTTCCAGTAAATTTCTCATTAAACTAAAGAGAAGCTCCAGTCTTCCCCCCAAATTTAAAAGTCAACAGCTACAAATACTGAAGCTGCTTACTTTTAATATAAGGGTTCTTATCTGTCCAAGGATCCAGCAATGTCTTCAGGGGCCAGCAGCTTAGGCTTCACAGCCGGTTTTCTACTGCGATTGTGCGAGTAATGCTGCATTTTGTGAATGGTCCTGCAGTCTGCTGGGACCTGTGATATGTCCCAGAAGGCTGAAGGGGAAAGAGGATGAGCCAAACTTCCATACAGATCACCGAAGAGATCTTACCGGAAGTGGGAGTGGGTGCCTGTCGAAACCAAGTACCCGCTTCCCCCCAAAAAGTGCCAAATACGGCAGTGGAGGGGGGGGGGGGGATGTAAAGATGTAAAGTTTACAATATTTAGCAAGTCTAATTTCTGTACTCATTACATTACAGACAACTACAAAAACCTGACTGAGGTTCTAACCCTTTCATACTTCAGCTATCATTGCCTGGTGAAGGCTTGAATCTGACTGATGTATAAAACAGTTCTGTCACTAGACAAATGAAAAATGAGTCCAGTTGTGTGATCTTTTATTTTTTTTTTACCAACTCTAGTTTTGCTTCTCATTCATTGGTGCTTATCATTGCTTATCCTTTTCTTTCGATGTCTCTTTTCATTACTCTTAATGTGCTGTTGTTTTTTCCAGACATGAATGAGCACAGCTCCCGCAGTCACAGCATCTTCCTTATCAATATCAAACAGGAGAATGTGGAGACTGAGCAGAAGCTAAGTGGAAAGCTGTATCTGGTTGACCTGGCTGGAAGTGAAAAGGTTAGAATGTGCAGTGAGCCTTGTTTAATCAATGATTGCACTGGCCTAATATATTCAGCATTGTTGAAAAACAAATTTTTGCAATGGCAGTCATCAAAGCATTAGTATTTAGAACAAGAGAGGTGAATAGCAACATACACTCAGCCTCTCTCGATTGTGTTCTGTTATAAGCTGAGGTATTGATGGATTTCTGCAGGCTAATGTAAATGTCAATGCTCTTTGAAGGCCTCATTGAATTAGCAGCAAGTTGTGTTAATGGTACAAACATAATGTGTATAAAGTCAAAGGAGATCAATTATGTGGAATAATAGTGCATTGAAATTTCTAGTTTACAAGCTGTTGGTAGGATCCACACCTGTTGCAAGCAGCTTTTCCCCTTGATGTACTTTGGGTGCTGGACAGCTCCTGTCTTGGTTTCTCTAGTCAAGATTCATGTGGGATTGGAAGATGTGGAAAAGCTTTGTGGGAGCTTTTGGTTTGAGTGGCATGAGGAACCATACCACCTTACTGTAGAAAACAGACTTCTATGGAAAGAAATGCTTATAAGTATCCACCAACCTGGGCAATTCAAACAACAGAAATAGTTGAGGTTCGCATATGTCTTTCAATGCTTATGTCTCTGGATATTTTTTTTTTTTTTAATACAAAACAGAGCCGTTGGGAATTCCCTGGCTCAGTGTTTATAATAAACAACTACCTTAGAGTAGTTGTTTAGTAAAAAACATAGGTAAAAAACCTTAAGTACAACAACTGCTCGGCATATGAAGAAGTAGAGCATCAGTAACAGTTATGCGGGGTAATAACTTGCAGATTCATTGTATCAGGGAAAGGGGCAAGGTATCCCCATACAGCACCAGCAGTGAAAGGGCACACCAATGATCCCCATCAGAGGTACTCTGTAAGGCGCACAAGCAAAGGTTACATTCATTCAGTAAATAGTACTTATGTCCCAGTAGTGGAAGGAGAGTTGGGACAGCCTATTATAGTCTCACATAGGTATAGCAGAATTAACTAAGGATTTCCAAACATTAAGAGTTGGACCTCTGTTGACTTCCATTTTAAGGCTTTAGCCTTTCTAGAATAGAAATAGAAAAGACTGGGCAATGTTTTGGTGGACCGGTGATAAGCTAGGGGGCCCACCAAGCCTAAAAGACAATATTCAACAGTCATTGGGATAGGTATGGTAGTCAACTTGGACACAAAACTTGTAACCTCAGACCAGAGGCTTCAATGCAAGAGCAAGTCCAATACACATGCCTAATCTCAGCCAGGTCATCCATACATCTACAGCAACGAGAAGAGGCTTCAGGATAAATATTGTGCAACTTTTGAGGCGTCATGTAAGCTCTATGGAGAATTTAAAATGTAATCAGCCAAAGTCTGGTGGCTACTAATTGATGGAAGGGGTATTCCCACATATCATCCCAATCCTCAGCCTCAATACCTGGAGCATCCGCCCACCATTTAGAGTGAAGATTTTCCATGCCTACTTGAACCGAAGGTATAAGGACTCTCTGAAAGGGGTTTAAACAAACAGAAATCTCATAGCACAACTTCCATTTCAGGGAAATGTGAGATCCATTTGCTGATTTTCTATTTGAGATTGGTAGGCATGATGGAGCTGCAGATATCGGAAGAAGTAAGGATTGGGGAGGCCAAACTGTTGTTTTAGGGTATCAAAAGGCGTTAATGAGCCCCTTGTACAAATCTGACCTAAAGTTTTAATGGTCTTGGATGCCCAAAAAATTGGGTCAAGTATGGATTGGACTTCTGGCAACAAAGGCTTAAACCACAAGGGAGTGTTGGGGAACCAACAGTTGGGGGCCAGATTGCATTTAGTGATTGTTAGTACTGCCGTCATAGATCTGGTTAATTTTAAGGGGGCATGGAGACCTCTATATAGAAGATTTCATAGGGTCTCATATGAAGCCAGGACTACAGAAGTATTAGAGTCATCTGAGATCACACAGGAGCATGTGTAAGGAGGGCAGACAAAAAATAAACGTGACGATTGGGGCATGCCAACCCTCCCTTTGTCCAAGTTCTACAAAGAATTTTCTTACTAAACTGAGGAGGATGGGAACCCAATAGAAAGGAGGAAACAATAGAATCAAACTGTTTAAAGTACAGGAGAGTGCTGTAGAGTATAAAGAAGTACAGAGAGGATTTTCATATAAATTAAGTTTATTTTACCAATAAGAGATAGAGGTAGATTTTCCCATGCTTTTAATTTTTGTTCAATCATGAGTAACAGGTGATATAAATTTAGCCTGGAAAAGTCTAAAACATCGGGGAAAAATCATGATACCTAAATAGTGGAAGGAGTTAGTCAAGTTAAAGGGAGAGTCGGATCTGCAGCCCCACGAGCTCCAGAAACAATGGACATAGTAAACGAGTTCCTCAGTTCACTTGCATGGTCAAGAAAAGTGAGTCATGGTCAAAGTGGTCAAGAATAGTGAGTGTTGCATTATGCGACAGCCCAGGCTCATTTAAAAAAGAGCTTCAGGTTGCCGGTATATAATGCCAATTTTTCTACTATCATCCCCACCGACCAACTCATCCGAGCCTCTCAAAGCCATGGCCAAGGGCTCCATCACCAGCCAAGAGAGGTCTGGAGATAGAGGGCAACTTTGCCTTGTTTCACATTCTATCTGAAAAATTGGTGATAAGTTACCACTCAACTTAAACTGTGCTGTGGGAGATTAGTAAAGTATGTCCAACCCCCTACAAAATGATGGACCAATTTCCATGACCTGGAGCACTGCAGCCATAAATCACCAATTCACAGATTTGAACGCTTTTTCAACATCCAGCACCGTCAATACTCTGGTGGCCAGATTACCCTAAGGAAGCTGGAGATGTGTAAACACTCTATGCAAATTAACATCAGTGGACCTACCCAGCATGAAGTCTGTCTAATCGATATTAATTAGTGCAGGCAAGACTTTCATCAACCTAGTGGCTAGAACCTTTGTTAGGATTTTGAGATCATATTTTGACAGTGAAATGGGCCTATAAGAGACACAATATTTCAGATCCTTCTCAGCCTTATGGAGCAAAAACACATGTACCTGATGCATGGATGGGAGTAATTCTCCACCATCTAAACAGGAAGAATAAAGACTTTGTAGTTTACGGGAAAGAATTTGAGCATACTCCTTATACCATTCACTTGGATTGCTAGCTCAATTTCCAAAGAAGAAATGGAGGCATCCAGGCTCACAACATCCTCAGCAGTCAGGATGGGCAGTGACAAAGGCTGGCGTTCCTCTAGGAGTGTATCCTCTGAGGAAGAGGGGGCTTGACTATATAGGGGCTTATAGTAAACATAAAACTGATGACATCTGTGGATCGTTTATATGTGGTTTACACTGAAGATAGCCTGTGCGTATGCAATTTTTATTCTATGCTTAGTTGGTTTATAACACGCTTACTTTTCTTCAAAGTAGATCAGCACTGACTTTCAACTGGAAAACCATAATGTATAATATGACTTAAGGAATTGGTTATGATTAGAGATCCATTTCCCCAACAACCCCCCCCCCCCCCCCCTCCCTTTTTGTGATTATGTGTTCTTTATTGAGAAACTAAAAGTAAAATGCAGTCCCCTGTAAAGCATACCAACGTGGTGCATACAAGTGTGTATTCCAACAGAAGATGAGCATGCAGGCCCCCTGCTGTGTCAATACTAGTTCATATGCTCTTTAGCATTAGGTGTTTCCAGAGGTTGCTGAGAAAAAGTGAATATCTGTAGGGTTAGGTTCGCTGTCACCATGGGTTTGAGGTTCGTGGTCTCTCTCTCTAGTCATGGCACAATTTTCCTAATCCTTCCTAATGATATATGTGAAAGGAGGAATACTTGTGCATAATTGAGATCAACCTCCACGTGTTCCCCAGTATGCAGGGCTAAGGTGGGATTAGCAGAGGGAGGCAGGGGTTGAAGAGCGCACATTAGCACCACTTACAGACAACTGGTTGCTATGTGTTTTGGAGGAGGAAAGAGGACAGTTTGCCAGCCAATTCACTACTTCCTGCATATAGTACTCTGACATAAAAAATGCAAAATTGTCCTGCCTTTAGATGGTGTGACCCTGTCACAAGTTAGCCTGCAGCCTCTTGTTTGTTTATTCTTACCTCCTTGCTGCTCCTGATTCCTTTCACATGTGTGTTTGTCTGTGCTCACCTATGGGCATTGTCTGCTATCCTCTGGGTTTTATTTCCTTCCCTTCCATCACTTCCTGACCCGCCTTCTAGTTTGCTTGTCTATATAAGACATGCTCAGTCTAGGCCACTTTGTCTGTGCAACTTCGTAGTTGTCTAAGCTTCTGTGTGTTGCTACTGCCTGAATCCTATATTGACTACTTGTGTACCGACCTCGGCTTCGTTCTCTGACCATGCTTGTTTCCCGCCTATCATGACCTCGGCTAGCCTCTCAGATTACGTTTGACTCCTCCCATTACACTCTGGCTTCCACGAGCGGTCTCCTCAACCTCAGCTAGGCATACCTGGGGACCGTGACCTGGTCCCAGCTTGCTGCAAGTCCATCCCCACCATCAGGGCTCTGGTGAAGAAGCAAGCTGGGGCTTAGACTCCGTGTCCTGGGGAACCCCAAGTTGAGTATCAACAAGAGCTCACTACCACAGGTGCTGACAGTTTGCTCAGGCCATGAGTTCCTTGGAGACACCGCAACCTCTCCTGGAACAACCTCAGTGTTTGACGCAGAGAGTCGATGTCCAGCAAGCCTATGAAGAACAAATTATGCACTGTCTGCAGGAATTCTCCTCCCGGTTGGATCAGCTGCAGGTTGTGTCCACTTCCTCGCCCTCGGTTTATGCTCCTACTCCGGTTTTTGCTGCTCCAACCCCCCCTGGAACACAGTCCTTTGAAACTCCAGCTGTCTCCACGCCTTACTTCTCTGGTGATCTCAAAGCTTGTCGGGGCTTCATCAATCAGTGCTCAATTCACTTTGACCATGTTTCTACTGACCGTTCCAAGGTAGC